AGAGCATAACTTATAAGAACTGAATGACAAGAGCCTCGGGCATGTGGAACACCATTGAATGTGCCAGTGTATGCCTAATGGAGGGCGCTGCAGGTGTGGTAAGGGGCGGGAGAAAGGCTGGAAGAACATGAAGACCCTTGGATGAAGATCGTCCATATACACCTGCAAGCTGAGCCACACCTAGGCCCATCTCGGAGAGAGCTTCAGCGAGAAGAGCTGTCTAGTCTTGTCGATGTTTTTCCACTTACAAATTTGTCTGTTGTGGCATGGCGAGCGTTGTGGTTACAAGTTGTGTTGTGACCCTCTTGGTTGTCAGTTCAAAATGACCAGTTGCTCTTCTGAGACAAAGATGGAGCTCTTGTAAACAGTAACCCTCTCAGAAACCCACAGAGGCATCACTGTGAGTCAGCACTGACTCAGTGGCAGTGGGTTTTGAGTCTGTCCTTCGTGTAGTGTATCCTTTAGTCATGCCATTGCATGCCAGGCATTAGGTAATGTCCATACATTCAGGGTACAAACAAACAGGCAAGCAGACCAATACGCTTCCGAATATAAACATTGCAAATAATTACTCTTTGGCTACATGCAACGAACTGTTAACGATTTCAGTCTTTCTACCAAAGGTTTTCTCTTCTTCAGAGTCAAGGTTAATTTTTATGTGACTTAATTTGGCAGTTTGGATTTGATAGCTGTAAGTATGCAAATTAGTTATGCACCTCTTTTTATTTTCTAGTTTAAATAATTAACTTTGGGGATTTCATTGGCTCAGCATCGTTCATTGATAGGCAGACCTTCAACTGTGGTGCTGTTTGCAGTGGCACACTAACCGGTGTGTCTTCCATACACAACCAGGGTCTATATGTTATTCCTTCTTCAAATCTTTTGGAAAATCGCTGTTTAAAAGGTAAGACATATTGAAACATTTCACAAATCACTGTGAAACAAGATTTGAGGGGAGAGGAGTGTGACAAATGGAGGTCACCATGGAGACATCGTATCATTTGCTGAACTTAACCCGTATTTCCCCCAAAATGCATTTGAGGAACTCATTACATTCAGTGAAAGGCAGCAAGGAGGAGAGGCATCTGGCACCCAGCTGCCGGCTCCTGACGCAGCCTCGCCCCGCTGGCCATGCTGATGGGCCACTGCGCAGACACCCAGGACCATGGCTCAAAAGCTGCAGTGGCGGTGGCTCTGGTGTCGTCATTCCCAGTGACTGGACACAGCCTGATAGTCTCAACTACTACAGTGTTCGCACCAGGATTCCCAGGGAGGACGCTTTCCCAGACAAAAATGCAGGCCCACCCCCAGAGCACACTCTGGAAACGCTGTGGACAGACGCATAATGGGAAGTCTCTGCATAGCGGCCGCTTTATTTGTGGTTGCCATCAAGAAAAGCATCTCCTTCAACGTATTTTCACGTCTGCCAGATGAACACGGGACGTGATTCTCAAGGACACTGATGTGATCAGATTTGTTAGGGAAATAGCCCAGCCACACTCTTCCTTGTTGAAGCCTCTCTCTGCCAGCTACGGTAGAACTGCAGTGAAGGTGGTGTTCTATGATGTGCCAATATTATGAACAGGCTCACACTGACCGAGCAAGATTCTATTTTCATAATGTTTTTACTACATGGGGGCTCATATAGATTTATATACAGATTCACAAAGATCCACACTAGGGTTCCCACAGAGCTATATAGGGACTCACGTGAGTCTGTATAGGGATTCTTAAAGATTTATATACAGACCCATGTCGGTCCACATGAGGAGTCCCATGGGGTCCTGTATATAGGGATTCTTATAGATTTATATACAAGTTTGTATAGATTTATATGCAAGTTCGTATAGGGACCCATGTAGATCTATATAGGGATTCTTATAGATTTATAGAGAGAGTAATATAGGTCTCAATAGGGACTCACATGGCACTATTTAGGGATTCTTACACATGAGATATAGATACACATGAGAATTCGCATAGGTCTATATAGGAACACACACACGTGTGTGTGTATATATATATATCCATATATATATCCTTATAGATCCACATAAATCTATCTGGGGACTCCAGGTAGAGAGTTAACATTTGCTAGATTTCAATGTCCACGGAGAGCCCACTAGTTGAGCAGATGAGCAAAATAATATTCAATCAATGATAAGCCTTTAAATGTGGTAGTTTGTGTGATGATCCTGTCAAAAGGTCCTTATTTTTCTCAGATACTTTGTGCACTCGGAAAACGATTTCATCTCAGCCACATAAGGTGAGCAGTGTAAGTAATTGAGCAGCCCTACCTATAAAGCACACACCATAAAGGCGACCCTTGCCATCACAGAGAAGCCGGATCTGGGAATCAGCCCAGTGCACAGCCCACGCTCCCTGCTCTGAGGTGCTTGTCACCCTGACGATGTGGTTTTCTTGTTGCTGCAGTGGTCCCGCCTTTGTGTCCTCTGCCCTATTGTCAGTCATCACCGCTTGTCAGGAAGCCCCTCCTGACTGTCCGTTGTCTTGTCATCTCTCACGCATCACCAGTCCGTGCACGTGTGCCCTGTACACTCGCTGGTCTCCTAGTGGGAATGGCAGTTTTGCCATCCTTCTCCCGTGAACTTCCAGGGTCTGCCTCCACTTTTCTGCACCCACAGAGACAGACAAGGTTCGGCAGCCCAGGGTGCGGCCTCAAATGCGTGCCCTCTGCTCCCAGCCGAGCTGCTATCCCGCTCTCCCAGGCTGCTTTCTCCCTGCTTAGCTGCTGGTCAGTGTTTTGACACCCCCCCCCCCTCCATTAAACTGTATATTTCAGAGGCATCTTCATTCTCCCCGCCTTTCCACCCCCACACCTATTATTCTAATTTAAATCTCCATCTTGTGGAGATTTAATCTTTCCAAGCTGTTGTCTTTAGCCCTTAACCTTCTCTTTCTCTGGTGCTTTGTCATAGGCAGTTCAAAGGCTTCTCAATCTTGGGATCAGCACCGAGTAAGTCTACTCAGCTTGTCCCAATCACTCAGTCGGGCTCAAGTCTTAATAACACCTTGCCCCCACCGATCTTCTCCCCTCCCAGCTCTGATATCCTGGACCACACAGACAGACAGACAAAGGATCCAAGCCCCATGAGCTGGAGGAAGACTCCACTGTGCCACACAAGTGAGGGAGATGTGTGCTTCTTAGTAAGTCTAGATGAATAGGGGATTTGGGAAAGATAGACTAATAGAAAGAAGAGATGTCTGCCTAAATTCATGGCTGGATTTAGTGCAAGTTTTCTCCATAAGAAAAGGGGCAGCAGAAGAAAGCAATTTGCTTTCTTTTGACAACTTGACAGCATTATTCTGAAGTTAATCTAGAGAAACGTAATGAATTTACATCCTCACTAATTGTGAAACCATGACATTAATCGGTTTTCAGGAAATTAGCAAACTTTCCAATAGCTAGGGCCCAAAAAGCTGATCCCCACCGGGAAGCAGTCCCTTCATATTCGGTTTAAGTTTTCAGCATGTACCAATTTTCAACCAATTGCAAATGGCACCCCGCCTCGCCCCCACCCCTCCAACAACAGTGTGCCCACAACAGCCTTTCTCTGTGTCTCTTAGCAATTTCACACAAGCTTTTGAGAGCTGAAATTAGGGTGGCCATGCCCCCGCCTGGCCCCCCTGATTTCCTGCAAAATTGATAAGGATGAGAATTTTCAGACAAACATGCAAAGCACACAGGGCGGTTTCCCAGAAATTATAGATCTTAAACTTTGGAAGACATCTTTCAAGTGATGTAGTCTACTGTGTCTGTTCCACGAGGGAGTATATGTACCCCAAAGCTGGAGTGGCAGCAACAAATAACATGCATTAATGGATGTGGCGCAGGTGGTGCGCGTGACACACACGTGTCGTCCCTTCATAGCCCTGTTTTGTTCTTCACCTGGCGCCGTCGAGTTGCACGCTCTTGTTCTTCCCCTTGTTCTCCCCAGGAGAAGCCACCTGCCGTCAGGTGAGTGCTCTCAAGTCATCTCCCAGAACTAGATAACATCTTTTCCCATGGCCACTGTCATTATCTTGACCTTTGTATAATGAGATTTGCCATGAATTTATTAGTTTTTTAGCTATGTTAATTGGCAGTATTGGTGTGCTGTGTGTACATATGTAGTAAGTGTTTGAAACGTATATATATACCTAGTTTTGTTCTCACACGTGGGAGTAAATTTCTCCTCCCATCCACCAGCTGGAGAGACTGTTGTTTGCTCTGTCCTCAGAGGCTCCACCTTGGGAGCTAGCAGATCCTGTGACGGGCTCTGCAGTTTGCTGTCAGCCTCAGGATGGTCCGTATTCTGTGTGTGTAATTTCAAGTGACTTAGTCCAGTGCTGTAGCTCTTTCGATCTCACACACCTGTTTGTGATGGGCTGGTGAAGTTTACTGTGAGGAGCAGGTACCAGGGAAGTCCACCCAATGAATGCCCCCAACAGTGACAGCACAAAGGAGAAGTTTCTAGAGAGATTGCCCTCAGCTGCTCTCAAGAAGGGGCAGGAGACGGTTCCTGAGGCTTTGCAGGCTCGCTTTTCAGGACACACCTCTGGGGTATACTTAGGAGACGAGTCAGGAGTCCTAGCACTACAATGGGTACAGGTTGAAAACCATTAGCTGCTCTGAGGAAGAAAGAAGGGGCTTTCTACTCCTGTAAAGAGTTTCGGTCTTGGAAACTCATAGGGTCAGTTCCACCTTGTTCTATAGGGTCACCGTGAGTCGGCATCGACTCAGTGGCAGTGTGCTTGGTTTGGGTTTGAGGATATGGGATGCTGACAACAGCCTTGGGTGGGCGGTCAATTGTCAGCACGGGCATTGCTGTGCAGCTGCAGTCTCCTTACTCAGTCAGATGAGAATCAGCAGTGAGTAATACAGGGTTTTCACTTGGAAGTTTTTTGTTTGTTTCTCTGCTTGCATTGTCCTGTTTGTTTGTTTTTTTCATTCTTACTCATTTGTTGTCACTTTTATTTTTTTTCTGTTTTTATTCCAGATCCACCAGCAACATTTCCAGACGCCCTCAAGGAGAGAGAGCCGCTGGCCCCGGGCGAGGAGGTCCCTCTGGAGAGTGCGATTCCTCACACGGACTCGGGTATCGGCGAGGAGCCTGTGGCCAGTGTCCTGAATGGTGTGGAGCTGGAGCCTAGCGCAGGCCCTGACGCCATGAGCGAGCTGCTGTCCACGCTGTCATCTGAGGTGAAGAAGTCCCAGGAGAGCCTGGCAGAGGCCCCCGGAGAGGTGTTGAAGCCAGCGCCGCCCGTCCCCAGCATCAGCCAGACCAAAGGCATCAACGTCAAGGAGATCCTCAAGAGCCTGGTGGCCGCCCCCATGGAGCTGGCCGAGTGCGGCCCAGAGCCCGTGCCCTACCCCGACCCATCACTCAAGAGGGAGGCGCAGGCCATCCTCCCCATGCAGTTCCATTCCTTCGACAGGTGCGTGCGGCCTAGCCTCCAGGGGCTGTCCCTGGAGGACTGAGCGTGGCTGTTCACACCCACACGCTAGCAAGCAAGCCCTGCGGATCTCAGGGAGCGAGCAGGCAGTCTGTTCCTGTAAAGACTGACTGTCCCAGAAGTCCTAGGGAACAGATAGCCTCTGTGCGGAAGGGCCACCATGAGTTGGAACCACTGATTGGAGGCCTTGACACTTGGCTCTGGTTTTTACGATTCCAGAGCCTCCCCCTGTGGTCGGCACTGTTCTCATGAGTGGCTGTGGGCCCGCCGGGGCCCCCTACAGACCCCTAGGTGGCGGGCCTGCTGACTGATGGCACTGTCAGCAGTAGCCGCGATGCACCTTCAAGAAGGAGCTGAAGCACGTTGACCCGGGATGGGAAAAGCTGCTCCCCGTTTTTATGCCCTGCCCCCAATGACAGCACAGCAGATGGGCTCCCCGTTTTCAGGGGAGAAAACAGGCCAAATCCCTCCCACGTCTCTGCTCGGATAGAAGTCAGGAGCACCAGGAGCATAGTAGTTAAGTGTTGGGCTGCTAACTGCAAGATTAGCAGTTCAAAACTACCAGCTGCTCCACAGGAGAAAGATGTGGCTTCCTATTCCCATTAAGAGCGACAATCTCGGGATCCCACAGGGGCAGTTCTGCCCTGTCCTGTAAGGTCGCTGTGAGTCGACATTGACTCCCTGACAGTGCGTATAGAAGTCAGTAATAGTGATTGGAGTTAAGTATCTTATTCTGAAGACTAGGACTCAGATTTGAGATTTAAATGTTAGTTTGTGAGAAAGATGGCATGTTTCTAGGCCCCCTTCCCTGTGGGCTTCTTTGAAAGTAACGTTTGCTAAAGGAACCCCAGGGCTCCCAGTTCATGTCTGCTCAGACTCATCGACCACGTAGACGCCAGCCCTGACTCCGTAGGGCTTTGCCTGGCTGTCGTGAGTGATGATTTTACAGACTCCACACCTGAGCTCCGGCTTGATGGCAGTGCTTGGTTTGGGGCTTCCTGCTCTGACTTTGCCAAACCGCTTTGTCCAGAACAGAGACGTGGCTTTTCAGGACTTGGGAGTGAGGGGTGACAGTGAAGCCATTTCAATGACTGAGTGGCCCTTTCATTTCCCAGTCAGTATCCAGTGGGTGTTTCTGATAAATGCACTGCAAACACCCTAGGGGACAGAGACAGACAGTCCCCATCTCCTCAGGCCTATTCCCAAACTCCTTGTATATTTGGTTAGTGTTCCCAAGATGTGTGTGCTTGTGTGCATGTGTTTGAATGTGCTTGCATACAAGGACCAACATTTTCATATATGCGTACAGCATTGCCCACGTAAATGGCACAGTGATATCACATAGGGTCTCTCACTGCTTTAATTTCCAACTTCACTAAGTGTTTACGTGTTTACATTGTGTAAAGCTTCCAGAGTGACAGCCTTGTGTCACAGAAGAGAGATGCACGGCCGTGTTTGTGTGGATTCGGGTCATCTTAGAAAGCTGTCCCTCTCCGTTACAGAAAGGAAGACAGCCACAGAGGGGGGCGCCGTAGCAATAGTCAGACTGTATTACGCTTTTGAGACTGGTGCTTTTCAACAAACAACACTCCCCACCCCTCACCCCCACACCTAGGAGCATCTGCACAGAACCAGGCATGCGTGGCTGTGAAGTGCAAGGTACCAAGCCCGTGGGCCACCCCCAGTCTGTTCGGGAAGGGGTCTGGGGTGCAGCTAATGTATGCAGCAGCTCGAGGGCTATCAAATGTAAATGATGAGGTGGTCTTGATGAAGGGGGGATTGAGGTCTCAGGGGCGCCAATGACGGATTAGACAGAAGCGGCCCAGCACCGCCCGTAACTCAAGTCTGTCGTCCTCACCACTCAAAGCCCTAATGGGAGGTGGCAGTCTGAAATGAGTTGCCACGGCAAAGAGTATTATTTTTGAAATGCTTTCACACAGCTCGCCAGCCCCGCATACAGCTTAGTTTCATGCTTTAATGTCATCAGGAGGCACAAATTGCTGTGTCTAATTGTTTGCCACCTGCCAGCAAAATGAGCTGCCAGCCGCCAGCCGGGCCTGACCGCCTGTCAGCCCAGGGCTGGTGGATTGGTAGCTTCAAACGTAGGTCCCTCTAGACCGGGCGCCGAGCAGCCGGGCCACACTGCAGCCAGTGGTGGCTCCAGTATGTCGCCACCATTTGCCTTCTCTGCTCAGAAGTGGAAGCCACTGCCCAAGGGGTCTGAAGCCCATTATGACAGGTGTGGTGGCATCAGCCCAGAGCCCAGGCCACCGTCACCCGAGGCCTCGGGATGATGCAGTTTGCATTGCGAGCTGTAGCTGGAAAATTGATGCACTGACTTGCTCATTTCCTCACAACTAAGTCTGGAGCCCTCCTGCTCTTCCTGGGGAATCCCCCTGGCAGCCAACCTTGGGGGGTTGGAGGGCATACCCGCAAAGGTGCCCTCCATGTATTGGTTACCCTCATTCTGGGGTGTGCACCTTAGAGACAGCCCTAAACCACTGCTGTCACTTGAGCCTGCTCTGGGGCTTCTGCTGGGGTAGCCCACCCAGCTCAGGGCCCGTCACTTCAGCAAATTGACACATCCAAGCTTGGGAATGTGTGGATTTGACCAAAATCAGCTTCATTTCCATAGTAACCCTTTCACCAGATTGGGTTGTGATGGCTTACCTCAGTGTCTCCCTATGCAGAAAACACCCCAGCCCTCTGTGCAGAATTAAACCCACAAATTTCCATCACACCGGGGAGGGGGTGGGGGAACTAGCCAAGCACAGAAAATGCCATGAGCCTCTTGTGCTGTCCTGTGGTTCAGAGACACGTTCTCCGTGTGAATGTGGTTGTCTCGTCATTGTCAGTAGGCACCTGGAGTCAGCTCCCACTCATAGCGACTTGAGTCCCACAGAAGGAACTACCTCCCGAAATAAAATCAGAAAGCTCTGACATTAAACACCCCGCCCCAATGCCCTTTCACTGTGTGGCGAAGACCAAATGAACAAGCAGAAACTTTAGGTTTTGTTTCCTAGCAATCTCATTCTAGAATCGGCAGACCAAATAGCAATGTTCCACAGCAATGCCCTCTCGTGGACACATTGGCAGGACCCTTTCTTACTCTTTTTTAAGAAATAGTTTTATTGATAGAAAATTTCCATATCATGCATTTCTATAGTTCAGTCGACTTTTTAAAGGAGGAGTTGGATGTACATCACAATCAGTTCTAATACACCCTCCTGCATTCGTTATTTGCTCCCCGTTTCCCGCCCCCCCACCCCATCCCGGATAGGCCATTTCGTCAGTTACTGTCTCTATGCACCCATTCCTGTGCTTCATAAACTGGGAAACCTAACAGAGACTCTGCAGATGGATTTTGGGCTCCTCCTATCCTCCAAAGCCTTCTGAAAATTGGGTGTTCACAACTCAAGCTCTGATACTTTCCCCTCTTGTAGTTGGATTCGCTTGTGGATCATCTTTGGACCCCACAGGCTGGTGTGCTTCTTCCGTGTGCACTTAGTTGGTGCTCTACTTTGCTGGCCACTGGTTTGGATGCAGCGTCGGCTTCTCTTCATGTTTGTGGCTGTCGCTCTCAGATTGAGGTCACGATCATTCCCTGAGACTGGAACTGGAACCATTTGGGTGCACTTGCCCTTGTGTGAGAACCAGTGCACATCTGTGACTTAGCACTGTCTTCTTTACCTGAGTCTGGACCAGAGGTAGTTGGGGGGCTGGGGGGCTTCTTGGTGACTCACTGTTTGGGAGGAACTTGTGTTTTCAGTCTATGGTGCTGCTTTTCAGCCTGCCATTCTCCATGCTGCCTCTCTGCCGTGCCCATCTGTGGGCTCCATAGGCTCGGGCAAACCCACCCTCCCCGCCCCCAACCTGTCAGACACTTGCTCTGAGCTTTCAAGTGTCAGCTTAACGTTTCATCTACTTACTTACCAGTGGTTCATTCTCGGGGTGGGAATATACTTCTGGAAAAGATCTTTCCTGTAAATAACAATGTAGGACAGGACTAAACCGGTCGCTCGATTGTCTTCATCGTGGTCCCCTCAGGAACAGGCTCACCCTGGGTGTTTTCTCTCTGTGTCCATGTGTTTCTCGCACTAAGCAGGGTCTCCTCTGAGGTTGGAAATTCATGTTGAGGATTCAGAAACTGTTGGATAAGGGAATCCTCCGAAGTACTTGACACTTTATTTTTTATCATTTTATTGGGAGTTCTTACAGACCCAACATTTCCTAGCTTAATGACATCAAGCAGTACTGTACAATTGCTACCACAGTCCGTTTCAAAACAATTCCTTGTACTCCTTGCTATCAGCTCACCTTTATCCCCTCCCTCCCTAACACCCCCAACCCTGTTTATTTGTTTGTTTGTTTGTTTTTGCTACATCTTACACCAGCCACTATCTCCTTTCATATACAATTTTGTTGTTCACTCCCCTTGAGTGGGGTTACACAGTCATCCATGCTATCAGCTCCCTGCCCCCCTCCCTCTTTCCATACCTTCAGGGCTGTAAATCAAATGGCTGGGGTTAGAAGGGGATGTGAGGGCGGGCAGTGTGATTGCCTCGCTGCCCTACACTGAGGCTGTCCTTGGAAAGTGCCTCAGCTCTGTATCCACAGCCAAGAGAAGATGAACTCTGCTCCAGGTCCTCAGTCTCTCCCCAGCTTCCGCCGGATCCCGGCTGGCTCCGGATCTCCAGCCTGCTCATGGGTCTCCAGTTAGCAGCCACGCTTCCCGACTTTCAGATCTTCAGATGCGCGCTGCCTGCTTGCTTGTATCCAGCAGTGTGAGCGCACTGACCCTCGCCTCATACTTTCCTACTTCGATAGACAACAGACCCTGCTTGTCACTGAGCCCCATGTGCAGAGACGGCCCGCAGGTGCCCTGGGCTCCACAGGAGCCCCTGGACACTTTAACATGATGAGTCAGTTCCAGTCAGAAGGGGAGCATTTCCTCAAAGAACAAGTTCAGAAGTGTTCAGAGAGAAGGAGACGGAAA